CATTTCGTTATTTCATTATTTCGCTTTCCAGCATTTCCGGGAAACGTTTCATTCTAAAAAATGCTATCGCAAAACGGTTGGAAATAATAAATGTAACAGCAGAATACGTCCTAGCACAGTCACTCTACTAGGAGAGAGTAACTGTGGTCCTAGTACTAAACTAAGTGACTTCTAAAGACTGAATGGTGTTTGCGAACTTCGTATTAGTTATAAACCGACGTCAGCTTCACGTTTATATCACCATGGAAACAGCCAAAAAACATGTTGCTTGTTTTTGAGCGGAGCGGATCGCCAACCAGCCTACCGGCTTGTAATGGTGCTATTAGTAGCCCATAAGTGAATCCCAGGTTAAATCAATGTCACATGAAAACAATTCTAGATATCTTGTGATAAACACATGTAGACTTTTGTATTGTGATGTTATGTTTATATTTTGCTAACAAGTATGCGAATATACCTAACAACAAAGTTGTTTGTAAGTTATTTAATAAACAGAGGCATATACATGTATATTTAATAATGACAACAACAAACAATATCGCTATTATATTTTTGTATTGGATTATTGCCAACCAGTCACTGTGCTCAGTCATGCAAAATGTAAACAAGTCAATTATGTCTGTTCTAGTTTTGAAAACATGATAAGTCCTACTTACCTCTAGTGGTTCTAGTGGCCTTTGTAGTAGTGGTAATAACTTGCATAATAAAAAAAACACATTTATATTTTGTAATAAGCATATATGTCCATGCAAGTACGATAATCAGAATATTGTCAATACAGATGTAGCCAGCAAGCAGCTGGTAAGATCATGTCCACTCTAATCAGTAATACAACATCAATAAATCAATAGACACGCAACTTGGTCGGTAAAATGGTCGGCAGATGACTATATGACATCAAAAAATATTGTCAACCAATCACTGTGTTCATCCATGCATGCAAAATGTAAACAAGTAAACAAGTGCGACAACATATATTGAACACATTCATTTACGTCGTTCCATTTTTGAAAACATGATAAGTCCTACTTACCTCTAGTGGTTGTAGTGGCCTCTGCAGTAGTGGTAATAACTTGCATTATGAAAAAGAAAAAAAAACATTTATATTTTGTATTAGGTATATATGTCCATGCAAGTACGATAATCAGAAGATTGTGGAAACAAATGTAGCCAGCAAGCAGCTGGTAAGATCATGTCCACTCTAATCATAAATTATTAATGATAATTAAGCCTATCTGTGTATATTTGCATAATTTTTCAATATCAATAATTACAATATAAACTTTCACAAATGAATTAGTAATTATTGTTATGACTTCATTTGCATATGATTTGCTAGTGGCTGTTTTGTAAGATTTTTTAAGACATGATTAATTCAGCTTACCTCTAGTAGTTGTAGTGGTCTCTGCAGTAGTGGTAATACCTTGCATAATGAAAAGGGATTTTATATTTTGTAATAAGTATATATGTCCATGCAAGTACAATAATCAGAATATTGTCAATATACAGGTGTAGCCAGCAAGCAGCTGGAAAGATCATGTCCACTCTAATCAGTAACACAACACAAATGAAGCGAATAATTTAAATACATAAACAACAACTCAACCTGGTCGGCAGAGGGGTCCGCAGATGACGTATGACATCAAAAATATAAATGGAAAAATTGGAATTTCTTCATCAGATTTGCTTTCATTAAGTGTATGCAAAGCTGGCATTTGTAAACAGAGACCTTTGCACACATGCATACATATGAACGAACCAATTATATAA